AAGTAATTATCATAAGGTACCAAGTCAAGAAGACTGTGTAGAAATATATAAAATGAAAGAAAATCAGAAAAAGCTATATAGGGCGCGCGAATGTTTATCTAGAAGAGAAAAGACACAGGTAACTACAGATGCTAAGTAGTTTAGACTACTGCCAGACACAATTTCAAGCTGCACAGGTATGTGGTTCACCTCAAAGCATTGAAATTGAAATTGAAATAAGTTTATTGAGGTAAAATACACACAAAGGGATGAGGTAGCTCAAGCTATTCTCACCCCGTTCAGTACATCGTGTTAATACATACATAAACACACATCACAAACAATAAACATATTACCAAACATTCTGAGAGATAAACATATACATTTCCTCCTCAAAGCATCAACCAAACGTATCACTGCTCGTCTCCAATGACTTTGTAAAGTCATTTGTATTTACAAACATGAGAGAAATGCGAGTCAACTGACCACGTGATAATCTTAGAGGAGCAGGAGATACGAACCCAGGCTTCTCTCTCCTATCTTATCTTGATACAATGTCTCTTGAGCTACACGGATATTTAAGACTTGATATCTTACTCGTTATCTCTCGCCCCGTCTCATGGCGGAGGCTGTAACCTGGTACTTGGTTGTTAAACCATTTGACGGGTCGTATTCCAAGGGAAAATTAGGATTAAAGACCTGCCTGAAACGCTATACGTGCTAGTGGCTTTTCAAGAATGTAAAAACTCTTGTATATATAAACACAAAATACTCTTCCGTACACTGACGCAGTTTTCAATGATTAAATATACTCGAATGTGTTGTGGTTTTCAATTCTGAACATATATATATATATATATATATATAGATATATATATATATATATATATATATATATATATATATATATATATATATATATATATATATATATATATATATATATATATATATATGGTATATATGGTAAAATGCTATGGTAAAATGCTATGGTAAAATGCTATGCCCAAGATAACTATCCGAGTGCCGGCGGTGGGGTGGTTCAAATAGCCTCGGCTATCACCTCATTATGTCCGGTTGTGATGGTCAAGTGGATTAAGGCGTCTTGTACATACCAGTTGCGTTGCTTCTGGGAGTATGGGTTCGAGTCACTTCTGGGGTGTGAGTTTTCAGTTGCATATTGTCCTGGGGACCATTCAGGCTTGTTCGCATTTGTGTTCCTCACGTGTGCCCCAAAGAATGAGGTGATTTGGTAAAATGCTATGCCCAAGATAACTATCCGAGTGCCGGCGGTGGGGTGGTTCAAATAGCCTCGGCTATCACCTCATTATGTCCGGTCGTGATGGTCAAGTGGATTAAGGCGTCTTGTACATACCAGTTGCGTTGCTTCTGGGAGTATGGGTTCGAGTCACTTCTGGGGTGTGAGTTTTCAGTTATATATATATATATATATATATATATATATATATATATATATATATATATATATATATATATATATATATATAATCTTTGGACAACACCCACCAGTGGGACTCGAACCCAGAAAGCACAACTACCTTCCAGTAGCTGGCATAACTAGTATGCTTTAACCCACTACGCCATCAGACCTTACAAAAGAAGTGGGTTAAACCTTACAAACCACTTGACAGACCTTACAAAAGAAGTGATGGCGTAGTGGGTTAAAGCATACTAGTTATGCCAGCTACTGGAAGGTAGTTGTGCTTTCTGGGTTCGAGTCCCACTGGTGGGTGTTGTCCAAAGATTGTTTATCTTCACTTGTGGTTTATGCAAGTATAGGCTTATATATATATATATATATATATATATATATATATATATATATATATATATGCAACAATGATCACAAAAACATTCTACTTTGATTCTACTTTGCTCTGATGAAGGCGAATTAGCCGAAAACGCGTTAAGCATTTTCTATTTTTCATATGTGGTTATTCTGCATATATATATATATATATATATATATATATATATATATATATATATATATATATATATATATATGCGAACAAACCTGAATGGTCCCCAGGACAATATGCAACTGAAAACTCACACCCCAGAAGTGACTCGAACTATATTAGTTTATATATATATATATATATATATATATATATATATATATATATATATATATATATATATACGTGTGTGTGTGAAGATCAGTTATGGTAATATGGAAAACAAACTTGAACGATAACAAAATGCTTACTCATACATGCACGCAAACACACACACAACAGGAAAGACGGAGACGGTCACATGATGATGAGCACAGAGAGGGAGTCACGTGGATGCCGTTCAAGGACACACCCAATTTTATAGGAAATGCCTGACTCAGACTGACAAAATTCACTCATTCAGGCTTAAGATGTAACATGATCTGTATCAAAGCAGATTCAATTATGTTTCTGTTATAGGTGCTTTTACAATTTGACATGGCCAATTATCTAATGCTTTGTTTGTGCATTTGTCAGAAAAAGCTCACCAAATTGATTGGGAGAGTGCTTCTTCAATAACAAATTGTAAAAGCACCTATAACAGAAACATAATTGAATCTGCTTTGATACAGATCACCAAAGAAAGTAATTTGAATATTAGCAGTGGTCTATATAACTTAGATCCATTTCTAATAGATCAGCTAAAGGGCGATTTAAGTAGGATCATTGGAAAACATTTGTCTCACTAATTCATTGTATATATTTACCTCTTTATGTTATAATTACCTATGTATTGTGCTTGTATGTCTGTTGTATCAGATGGGCCATTGGGCTACATCGGATGGGCCATTGCGCTACATCGGATGGGCCAATTGGGTGCATCTGATGGGCCAATGGGCCGTCTGCGTTGTCCAAGTATTGTACCTCACCCCACTTCACCACTCTCTCCTGCCTATTTATACCCATCACTTGATCTGTAAAATCATTCCTTCTGAAGATGTATTTAATATACGAAAGTACTTAAGGAAATTCCAGTTTCATTTTCCTCCGTGGTCTGACATTGTCATATATATATATATATATATATATATATATATATATATATATATATATATATATATATATATATATATATATATATATATATATATATATAATGAATAAGTGTATGTACAGTTCTAGTACGTTTATTGAGACAAGAAAATACATCTCAAAGGGGAATTGGGGGATAGAAATAGCCTAAGCTACTCTATCCCTTTGAGATGTATTTGTTTCTTGTCTCAATAAACATACTTGAACTTGAATCTCAAAGGGATAGAGTAGCTTAGGCTATTTCTACCCTCCTTATATGCACAGTTCATTGAAAAAGAATGAAGGAATTATCCCGTTAATATCTACTTAATCCTCCCACTTTCATGTCCCCTCCGTTAATCCATATTTTGGGGCTATGGATCTTTGTCTATTCAAGTGTAGTTGGGTATATATATAGTCCAAAACTCTTTATCTCCTCTGTGTTCCTTGATAATGTGGTGAAATACGAATATATTCGGAATTTTCGCCAGTGGATATTTATATTTTTATGTATCAGTCATGGTATTGTCTTCTCACAGATATAATAACAAAAGATAAAAACCCGCACATGTGTATATGTGAGATTTATGTAAGGAATTTAAAACCAAGTCTTTCGCACTCTCCTGAATGCTTTATCAAGGTCTGAGTATGCGAGTGTAACAAAATTGTAACCGAGTAAAACGAAAGTTTTACTTCAGAGGATAGCTTTACTAGTAAAATGATTCTGAGCGAATTAAAATTAGATCTCAGTAAATGGAAGAATGAAAGCAGTCCCATTAGCCGCGTTCCTTGGGGGTATGGAGAGAGCTTACGAGGGATAGAATCCAGATAAACACCGATTAATAACAACTCCTGTTTCTAGAATAGCAGGATTATAGAAAGAACATTATGACCATATTTCCGTGGAAGGCATCACCGCAGATACATCAGTAGTCGGGAATTAGAGATGACATGGTCAGGTGGTCATTAAGGATAAGAAGATACAAGATAACGGCCTCTCTACAGCTCCTCTCCTGTGCCAGGTAAGTACACTACGGTCTCACCATAGCCCGCGTTAATTGCATGTTCCCAGTTGCTGAATCTAAGACAACAACAAACATAGAAACCTCATTAGACGTTGCGATGTAAGTTTCTATCTAATCGCACACTCAGACCTTGACAAAGCACTCAGGGGTGCGAAAGACTTGGTGTAAGTTCCTTACATATACTTCACATATATATACACCTGTGGGTTTTTATCTTATATATATTATAGACAAGAGAGTTCCCAGGACAGAGCCTTGAGGCATTCCACTTACAACAGTTTACCACTCTTGACTCCATTTATTTATAATTCTTTGTTTCCTCTGGTATAAGCATGCTTAAGATAACTTATCCAACTTGAGATAATTCCCCCAGTACCGTGACCCCATTACTTTCTAATCAGTCATCTGCGGGGGCACAGTATTAAAAGATTTGCTTAAATCTATGTAAACGACATGAGAACGTGCATCAGACAGGATTTCGACAATAAAGAGGTCTGGTTCATTTAGACAATGAAGTTAATGAACAGGCACGCAAGGGGTTCATTTAGACAATGAACAGGGAAGCTAATCCATCACTGGTGTGGGAATAGGCTCCAGGATTCAGCCACCAAGTATCGCATAGACAAATAGGCTTCGTGTGTTCTCACTAACCTAGCAAAGCTTGCATGCGTATGTGCCTATGCATGTGTCCTAACATTGCGTAACTTCCATCACCACCATCAGGGTCTTCCCATCCCTCCTGACAATATAAATAAATTCTAATAAGACGCTTCAGTGGGTAACCACATCTCAAACAAAGATTGATCCTCTTAACCTACAAATATCCACTGCTTTACCGATGTCATAGACGTTGAGAGATCACAGACACGCTAATCCAACCCGAATTAGGATCCTCTCTGGCGGTATAATGGCATCATAGAGGATTGGATGTCTGGGAATATGTAGCAACTTATTATATGCGTCCCATCCCGCTCCTTCCCCAGTGCATATAAACCCAAGGTCGAGGGCGCACGCCTCACTCCCACTGGTATTCTCCTGCAAGGTTGACTCCTGTGACTCTCTCTCTACCTTTTCAACTACAATCCTGCGTTCATTTTCGTGAGGACGTACACACGCTTTACTTAAGGTATGGTAATGAGTCTTTTTACACTTCTGCGGTAATTATTTTGCTTGCGGTAGTGTGGCTTTGTAATTATGCCGTGGTTTGTCGTAGTAATATGCCATGCTTTGAACAATGTTTCGTTATGTGGGGAGTCATTACCCTCCACGATAGATAGATGAACCTTTGTGCTTGTGGCGGAGTGTATGTGAGGGGTTTTAACCGTGTTAGTAGTAGTGGCAGAGTGTATCTGTTTTTTTAAGTGTGCTAACAGTAGTGGCAGTGTATGTTTTTTTTGTATTAAATGTACTAGGAGTAGTGGCAGAGTGTATTTGTTTCTAAGCGTGCTAGGAATAGTGGCAGAGCGTGTTTTTTTGTGTGTGTGTGCTAGGAAGAGTGGCAAAGTGTATGTCAGGGTTTTGAGCGTGCTAGGAATAGTTAATTCAAAGTGTATGTAGGGGGAGTACCCATCACTATCATTTAACTGTTCCCATTACTACCCAGTGGAAGACGCCTCAGTCAAGGGACTCCCAAACCTGATCTGCTCCCAGGTGACCTTGAGGACGACCGGCTTTGACTCTACCCAGAATGAACTCTCATGTAAATCAGAGGGTCACATACTGTCACTCCCGTCCCTCAGGAAGGAGATCCGCTCAAGGGAATAGATTGGGAACGACAACATAATTAGTTCTATTATCTACTCTCTATCTATGGTTAGATTAAGATTTAATAAGGTTAGGTTAGGTTTTATTAAGTTTGGTTACGTAATACAGTGTATTATTGACGATAATGTGAAATATGGAATTCAAAAACTATTCAAGTGTCCCCCGAGAATTCCGCTTACAGAAAACCAAATTTGTCAAAGAAAAAGTTTTCAGCATACATTTTTTTTTTACTTTTTTAAACTAATTAATTATAATACAGTAAAGTTATAACTTGAAAAATAATCGCTATTTACGACAAAGGTTCCTTTACCAGTTTACATGTAGACTCTTACTAGAACCGTAATATATCTAGATAACTATCCAGGTGGTTTGAGGGGGGGGGGAGGGAAGAGGTGTGGCTTCTCATGGTAATGGAATTGCTGTGAGTATCCTTGTATATATATTCATCCAAATTTATTCATAGAGTCCCGGCAGTACAGTCGGGTTCATTCGCGACTCAGAATAAAAAAATCCGGGTTCGAATCCCAGGCGGAACTGAAATGGTTGGGCGTATTTCTTATCACCTAATGCGTTTGTTCACCTTGTGGTAAATAGGTCTCTAGGAATTAGTCCACTTGTGGTGGGGGTTGAATCCTGGGGAGGGTCAGTAATTTGATTTGGGGGGGTGGACCTCGATATAGGCCTACAATATATATATATATTTAATTATTATTATTAAGTAATGGATATGTTTTCTCACAGACATAAAAACAGAGGATAAAAACCCAACAAACTTTTTGTATTTGCGAAATTTTTGTAAAGAATTTACACCAAGTCTCTCGCACTCTCCTTGAGTGCTTTCTCAAAGTCTGAGTGTGTGATGAGGACGAGACTGAGACGTAAGTCTGGTCCTCACCACACACTCAGACCTTGACAAAGCACTCAAGGAGAGTGTGAAGGACGTGGTGTAAATTCCTTACATAAATTTCACAAATACAAAAGTTTGGATTTTTATTCTATGTTATTGTTATCATAATCACCCCATCATGTATCATCTTGAGGTTATCTTGAGATGATTTCGGGGCTTTAGTGTCCCCGCGGCCCGGTCCTCGACCAGGCCTCCACCCCCAGGAAGCAGCCCGTGACAGCTGACTAACTCCCAGGTACCTATTTACTGCTAGGTAACAGGGGCATTCAGGGTGAAAGAAACTTTGCCCATTTGTTTCTGCCTCGTGCGGGAATCGAACCCGCGCCACAGAATTACGAGTCCTGCGCGCTATCCACCAGGCTACGAGGCCCCATCATAGTAACATTATTGTTACAAGGGAGACACATGTTATGATAGCCGGTCGGCCGAGCGGACAGCACGCTGGACTTGTGATCCTGTGGTCCTGGGTTCGATCCCAGGCGCCGGCGAGAAACAATGGGCAGAGTTTCTTTCACCCTATGCCCCTGTTACCTTGCAGTAAAATAGGTACCTGGGTGTTAGTCAGCTGTCACGGGCTGCTTCCTGGGGGTGGAGGCCTGGTCGAGGACCGGGCCGCGGGGACACTAAAAGCCCCGAAATCATCTCAAGATATGTATGAATGAATATATGAGCTTGCGTTCATATATTCATTCATACATGTGTCTATAAATTGTTTTTCTTAAGAATCCAGTGATCTCACATCTGTTGATATCACTGAAAAAGATAAGGAGTGTAAATTATGTAGTATGCCGCACGCCCACACATTAGAACATTATGTATTAGTATCAACTGATAACTATAGAAATAAGGAAATAAGTAGTGTACCACATCAAACTGGGTGTGTGATAATGGTATGATAGACAGTATACTTAGGAGCTACAAGAATTTTACCCCAAGAGTGTAACACTTATACGCTGTGCTTACGATATTAACCTGCAATGTTAAATGGGATTCTTGTATTGATTGATTGATAAAGATTAAGCCACCCAAAAGGTGGCACGGGCATGAATAGCCCGTAAGTGGTGGCCCTTTTGAGCCATTACCAGTATCAATAGATGATACTGGAGATCTGTGGAGGTGCGACTGCACCCTGCGTGACGGGAGATGCCTCCCGTCCGCCCCTTGAGGAATTTAAAGTAGAGGAGGGTGGAAATAGCCTAAGCTACTCTATCCCTTTGAGATGTATCGTATTTTCTCAATAAATGTGTTTAAACTTGAATGGGATGGTCTGAGGGATTAGCAGTATACATTCTAGTGTAACCATCTACACCTCATTTACACTCTTAAATTCTCTCACTCACACTCTCATAGTCTTACAAAATGCGCTCTCATATGTCATATGTTTAATGAAATATTGATTTTGAATTCAAATATATACAAATAAATGCATTTAATACCCAGTCTTACAGTGTGTCTTGATTTAGCTTTGCAAGTCATCCATCTCTCTTCTCCAAACCCATGCTTCCCAACATGCAAACATCTCTGTCTCTCTCTCTCTCTCTCTCTCTCTCTCTCTCTCTCTCTCTCTCTCTCTCTCTCTCTCTCTCTCTCTCTCTCTCTCTCTCTCTCTCTCTCTCTCTCTCTCTCTCTCTCTATGACCTAACATTCCACACATCACCTCCTCCAAGATTTCCCCAAGCCCAGCATCTCAACTATCTCAACTACCCTCCCATTTCCCCCCCAAAATTCCCTTCCGCACCCTGTGACCATAGGTACTAACCCACAATCTCTCAACCCATCAGAGGTGATCGCGCCTGTGTGTGTGTGTAATCGCAGGGCATCGTCCCCGAGGACACACCATGAGGGTCCTGCTTGTGTTAGCGGTCCTGTTGACGGTGGTGACAGCCGCCGTCTTCGAGAGTGAGAGGCTCAGACGGGCCCTGACGGAGGACGACAACGACGACGAGGGGACACGAGGGGAGATCTGGGCGGTGCTGTTGGCTGGTTCCAATGGTTGGTGGAACTACCGGCATCAGGTTAGTTTGACAGATTGATTGATGAAGATTAAGCCATCCAAAATGTTGTTGTTATAGATTCAGCTACTCGGAACATAAGTTCCAAGTAGCACGGGCTATGGTGAGCCCGTTGTGGACTTACCTGGCACAGAAGCGGTGCAAGTAGCACGGGCTATGGTTAGCCGTCGCCATCCAAAAGATGGCACGGGCATGAATAGCCCGTAAGTGGTGGCCCTTTTGAGCCATTACCAGTATCAAGAGCTGATACTGGAGATCTGTGGAGGGGCGACTGCACCCTGCGTGACGGGAGATGTCTCCCGTGTTTGACAGTAGAGTTTGGGGGTGTTATATAAGGTGTTTCATTACACACAGAAATCACAATTGCGTGATGCATCACATGAACAAATCCACAAGGGCCGTTTCGAGGATTTGAACCTGCGTCCGAGAGCATCCCAGACGCTGTCTTAATCGACTGAGCTACGACATGGTCAAAACTTCAGTGGAACTTCGGTTTCAACTCTTTTTAACCCTGTCGTAGCTCAGTCGATTAAGGCAGCGTCTGGGATGCTCTCGGACGCAGGTTCGAATCCTCGTCACGGCCCTTGTGGATTTGTTCTAAGGTATTTCATTGCTTTAAAGTACTTTTTTGTGAGCTTTTAGGCTTGCAAACGACATTTTTGGATTTGGTTGTGGTCTCCACCTCTAGCTTGTATTTGATTATATGGCAGAGCTTCATGTTGCAATTGTGAAAACTATCAAATGTGAAATGGTGTGCAAGATGGGGGCCTCGTAGCCTGGTGGATAGCGCGCAGGACTCGCAATTCTGTGGCGCGGGTTCGATTCCCGCACGAGGCAGAAACAAATGGGCAAGTTTCTTTCACCATAAATGCCCCTGTTACCTAGCAGTAAATAGGTACCTGGGTGTTAGTCAGCTGTCACGGGCTGCTTCCTGGGGGTGGAGGCCTGGTCGAGGACCGGACCGCGGGGACACTAAAGCCCCGAAATCATCTCAAGATAACCTCAAGATATGCAATGTGAAACGGGTTTTTGGTAAGGCAATTTTTGCTGTGGTGCGGTGATAGTATCTTTGCAATATTTCTGGGAACTTTAAAACTGATCTTCACCAAACTTAGACTTTTGTTCATTGATATATTACGATGATGGGATTTCTCTGTGTATTTTTTTTTTTTTTTTTTTTTTTTTTTTTTTTTTTGAGATATATACAAGAGTTGTTACATTCTTGTAGAGCCACTAGTACGCGTAGCGTTTCGGGCAAGTCCTTAATCCTATGGTCCCTGGAATACGATCCCCGCCGCGAAGAATCGTTTTTTCATCCAAGTACACATTTTACTGTTGCGTTAAACAGAGGCTACAGTTAAGGATTTGCGCCCAGTAAATCCTCCCCGGCCAGGATACGAACCCATGACATAGCGCTCGCGGAACGCCAGGCGAGTGTCTTACCACTACACCACGGAGACTGTTTCGGGCAGGTCCCTGGAATACGATCCCCTGCCGCGAAGAATCGTTTATTCGCCAAACTAGCTTCGCACATATTCCAATCACAGACAATATGCTGAAACGCCATGTTAAAAATACTTTCTCTACTGGTAATTTTCTGCTACTTTATGTTTTTAGCAACTTTTTGTTCATACTGTCTGCAATTTGGCGGAAGGTAATCGTCTTAAATTAGTTCTTTCATATAAACTTTGGGATGTCATTACCCGATGTTGATCATGTCTGGTTTTGTAGCACCATTTTGAGCCTTCTGGAACTTTTGAGAACAAGTTGTGGTTTAATGTTTCATTTAGAGTCGTTTAATTTAGTAAATCTACACCATTTATCCTCACTATATGCTAAATTACAACTTATCTTACAGCAGCTGATGACAACAATTCCCATCACAACATAACAGGGAGACTAATCCCACTCTACTATTTCAATCGCCCACAACAACGATTCTGAAACATCTTTGCATCGTATCATTGTCACTCCCTAAACTTTCTACACATATTTTGTTTCTCATTAATAAGGTAGTGGGGATGACACAGTTATACTTATATGTATTCGTCACAGCCATCATTACCGATTTCAAACTCTAATTTCGCTCGTAATCTGAAAACTATCTACTGAGGTCGATCTCGAACCCATTGTTGATGTGACGACTTATATTGAATTTTGTAACTAGCTCATCAAGATTGTAACTTGCTTAGCTAAATGAATTGTGGGGTTCAGTCCCTGAGCCCATTATGTGCCTCTGTAACCCTTTCCACTACCACCCACAGGATGGGTATGGGGTCCACTACCACCCACAGGATGGGTATGGGGGTCCATTACCACCCACAGGATGGGTATGGGGTCCACTACCACCCACAGGATGGGTATGGGGGTCCACTACCACCCACAAGATGGGTATGGTGGTCCACTACCACCCACAGGATGGGTATGGTGGTCCACTACCACCCACAGGATGGGTATGGGGGTCCACTACCACCCACAGGATGGGTATGGGGTCCACTACCACCCACAGGATGGGTATGGGGGTGCATAATAACTAAACTGACTCTCATCGACTCACTCTCACGCACACACATTCTCTCTCTGCCTCTCCACCTTCTCACCAGCAGTGCCATGCACCAATACCTTTTCTTCTCCTACAGGCGGACGTGTGCCATGCCTACCAGATCCTTCACCAGCACGGCGTCCCTGACGATCGCATCATAGTTATGATGTACGATGACATCGCTCACAATGTCGAGTGAGTATCTTGCAACGGGGCTTCTGTTGTCGTTTGACCCTATACCTAGGCTAGGATTTTTATCCTATGGGGTAGTTTCAATTGCCGGCCCTCCTAGGGTTTAATAATTACTAGTTACCTACCGAATAATCTCTACGGGAAATCATCAAAATGAGCACAGAAATACGCTGGTAGAGTAACAGCACAAATATGTATATTTAGAGAGAGAAAAAGTAGCCTAATCACTAAGTGGAGGTCCCATATATCCTTCTTATACCTTGATTAATATACAAGACTCAGACATGTCGAGATGGGTGATACATTCACCAGGTCATGTTACTTGTGTACAGATCAACCTATGCAGGCGATGAGTCACAATAACGTGGCTAAAGCAAGTTGACCAGACCACACACTAGAAGGTGAAGGGATGACGACGTTTCGGTCCGTCCTGGACCATTCTCAAGTCGATTGACAATGGTCCAGGACGGACCGAAACGTCGTCGTCCCTTCACCCTCTAGTGTGTGGTCTGGTCAAGATCAATCTAGTCTTTAGTATGACATACATAAATTAAAACATTATCCACCCAGACGAGACCAAAGACACATACAAATATATTCTGAAATCTGGACTCTATATTCGCTCTGAACAATACTATGATATACTGCAAGTTAAATTAATATGAATTGTGGCTTATCTGACTGTCTGGCGGAGTGAAAATCTTTAGAACCATGAGCCTCTTTCCAACACAGCTGCCCCGTCCACCATCTTCTGGTAACTGAGGAACGCCCTCTCACTTCCGCCCCTCAATACATAATGTCCAAATCCTCCTACATAACCCCTCAATATTCTCATTTAACAATACTCTACCGGTAGCTAATAAATAAAATAAAGTCTATTTTTCATTTATAAAACGTTAATGTATATATATTTTCTACTGGTCATCCACAATCAACGAATCTGGGAGGGAACTACTTTGGTGGGTGGAGGGATATCGCTGTTCTCCGGTCTGCCAGCTAACTGCCACCTCAGGGAACCAATATGTCGTTTGTTTATGCTTGTTTCTTTAGACAATCTCTTAACAAAATACTATATATTGGGGGATGAGGTTCGTAACATAATGATCGTTGGGCAGTTAGTGCTAGCCCTGAAGCTGTTACCGCCAGTCCTGAAGCTGTCAGTCTTGAAGCCGTTAAAGCCAGTTACATTCAAATTCAAAATTCAAATTTTTATTCAGGTAAAAGTACATATATTGATGAAGAGTTACAAACATAATGTTGGATTTATAGATAGAGATAGTACATACAATACCTAAAGCCACTAATATGCATAGCGTTTCGAGCATTGGTTAGGCATTAGTTAGATAATTCCAAATGTTTACAAGTTTGATGTATTTACTGGAGCGTACAGACCAACCGTTGATCAGTTGTTATCGGACAGTTAGTGGCAGTGATGTGCAGTCTATGTGCATTTTGTGGAGATAAGAATCACTGCAGGAAAACAAACCACGAAAGAAACCGACAGACACTTTGACCTGACTATAACTGAAATACACTTTGACCTGACTGCCATCCTAAGAAAATTGACACCGCTCAGCTAACTATCCCCCTGAGCTATGTAACAACCACACTGAATTAACTGACATAACTGCCTGACTCACCTCATCACACCTCGAACCAGAAATGACCTAAGTCTCCGCATCACAGGAACCCGAACCAGGGGGTGGTAATTAACCGTCCTAGCGGCCCTAACGTCTACGAAGGCGTCCCCAGAGACTACACCGGCAGGGACGTCACCCCAGAGAACTTCTTGAAGGTCCTACAAGGCGACGCAGAGGGCCTGAAGGGGGTAGGCTCCGGTAAGGTCCTCAAGAGTGGACCGAACGACCGAGTCTTCATCAACATGGTGGATCACGGAGCTCCTGGAATCTTCGCCTTTCCACACGGTTACCTCAATGCTACTTCTCTGGTGGATGCTCTTCTGGCCATGCATCAGGCTAATAGGTACTGGCAGGTAGGTCAAGCAGCAGCATCTCGTAGATGTGGAGGTGTACTGGGTGTACGTACGGCATCATTCACTCCTTCGGAGTGTTATTTTTCTGTTTTGGGTGAAGAGAGAGAGAGAGAGAGAGAGAGAGAGAGAGAGAGAGAGAGAGAGAGAGAGAGAGAGAGAGAGAGAGAGAGAGAGAGAGAGAGTGTCCTGCCAGTCACAGGACTGGCAGTTCACTGTGAAGGTAGCTCCTCTGAGTGAGTGAGTGCAACTTTTCTCTGTGAGTGAGTCCAACTTCTCTGTTAGTGAGTTAAACTTCTCTCAGTGATTGAGTACAGCTTCCTGGAGAGAGTCGTAATAAGAGAACGATTTTATTAATACACTCTTGACTATAATTTTTCCTCAATTATATTAAACTATACATATATTATATGTAAAATATAAAATGAATTCTATATTTAATTTGTAGACAACTGAATAAGAATAATTTAGGCAATGGTTTCCAAATTAAATATCTTTCAAAAGGATGATAAATGTCTCTCGAATTATACGGAGATTAGGTGAAGGTTAACATCTGATTAACAATCAATTATTGATTGGCATCCACCCCTATTATTCACCTATGAGTGATTAACTCACCCCTCATAATTTCACCTCATTCCCATGTGGATTTAAGATAAATATCCACCTTGTATATTCATTTCTTACCGGAAGATGTTCAAGTGTAGAACGAAACAGATTACAAAATATACCTTCAATAATAAATATGCATTATATATAATATATAAATATATTATATAATATTTCAATAATTATTATAGTTTTATCAAAAATTGCGATAACGATAGCAAGCTGATTATATTTAACTAAATATGTTTAAAGGAACGCCTGCTGTTCAAGTATTATATATATATATATATATGGTCATGTATACATACATGACCATAGGTTATTCATAATGAAAGGGAAAATGGGAGTGAAAAAAATCACTCGTTTTCAACAGAAAACGAGTGTTGAAATTTGTCCTGTGAGGGGTGACTGAGTGTAATCTTCTGGGTATTCATCTCCACAGATGGTGATGTACGTGGAGTCGTGTGAGTCCGGATCCCTCTTTCAAAGTCTCCTTCCTGACGACATTGAAGGTGAGCTCGCTCGCTCTCTCTCTCTCTCTCTCTGTCTCTGTCTCTGTCTCTCTCTCTCTCTCTCTCTCTCTCTCTCTCTCTCTCTCTCTCTCTCTCTCTCTCTCTCTCTCTCTCTCTCTTGATTTATTGTTACCAAGACCTTTTTTCCCTCACTTTTTTCTATTTATTTAATGTGTTAACAATTGTAATAGGCATTTATTTCTGGTGGCTAAATTAATAATTCTTCTGATATTTAAATCAATTACCATTGCTATTTTCTTCATTCTAATTATTGACGACACTAGTTAAAACAATAATTTTGGTTTTATATTTTCCTCTTGATTAAGTCTCCCCCCCTTCTTTGTTCCCATTTTCTGTTCTTGATTATATCCTTCTTGGTTTCAGGCGCAAACTAAGTTATTGTGTGAGAAAGAGATTGACATTGTGGTTCCCTTACAGTATACGCCTTGAGCGCCTCCGCGCCCGACCAGCACTCGTACGCCTGCTACGAGGACGACACCCTACACACCTTCCTCGGCGACGTCTTCAGCGTCAAGTGGATGGAAGACACCGATGTGGTAAGTGATCTACCGCGTCGCTGCCATCTGAGGGGCAGAGGTGGAGTCGAGTCTTAGAGCAGGCTTGAAGGCCTGGCTAGCCCACCCCCCCCTGACGATTCTTAAAAGATATCGTGACGAAGAGGCAGTTAGGTTCAGGTTACAAGTCAAGTTTCGCGACCTGGTGGTTCCCAGACGCCTAAGTGTCGTCGGGTTGACTAGAAAACTATATATTTTCCTTGATAGGGCCTTGCTTTTTGGCATAGTTAGGCCCTTTCTAGGCGCCTAGCAATTCACAGGTGTTGGCTGACTGTTGATACTGCTAGAGATAATGTTGTGTACTGTTGATTGACTCCAAGTATCGCTAGACGTCAATAGTTTTATCACGTGTCTCTGTATTTTGTTGTTGTTTAAGATTCAGCTACTGGGAACAAAAAGTTCCAAGTAGCACGGGCTATGGTGAGCCCGTAGTGGACTTACCTGGCACAGGAGCGGGGCTGTAACTTGTCTCTGTATTTACAGAATCGCAAGCTAAATAACCATCATCCCTGATCATCTGTTTTCGCTTGCAGGAGAACCTACACCAGGAGACGCTGAAGAAGCAGTTCCTACTGGTGCGGAAGGAGGTGGTGACCTCGACAGTCATGCACTGGGGCGAGCTGAAGTTGGCAGCCCAAAAGATGTCCAAGTTTCTTGGCAAGAAGGATCCCCATCGCATCTTCAACCACATTGCTAACTATGATTATGAGGCTTTCAGCCCCCCAGTGTCTTCCAAGTTCAATGATGCTTGTCTGGTAAGTTATTTGATGTCTTAACGGGTGTCTTTCAAATGATAATTAGGCATTTCGATAGCTAAAGGGTCATTCTTCAATACCTTCTAATTTCCGCATCTGGGCAGCTATGCAAGACGATGCTGCCAACTCATTTGTATATTCCTTGCGATCATTGATATCTTTTACAATTTAATATTGGAACATCTTTATAGACCCATGCAGCAGCAGCAACAGCAGCAGCAGCAACAGCAACAGCAGCAGCAGCGGCAGCGGCGGCGGCAAAGCTTGCAGTAAAAACATTTGTGATGATCACACACACACACAACTTGGTGAAAGTGCAGGACGGAGCGAAACGTCTTCATCTCTTCATCTTCAGATGTGTCGTGATGTGCCTTCGAATAAATGTTTGTTTTTCTCCTTCTTTCCCGCGGCAGAATACGTCGGTGCCGAGCTACGACGTGCCTCTGGCCATCCTCAAGTCCCGTATCAAGAGTGCTGCCACTCCAGACGAGGAACAACACTGGAAGGAGGAGCTCACCGCCCTCCGCCTGGTAAGGATCCCCAAGAGGAGATGTTTACTGTCTTAAATCATTGTCTTCCGGGTTTGGTTGAGCCCCCAAAAGTGAAAATATATTTGTTTTTATTGTTTGGGGTGAAAAAGTATTGTTTTAAGTGCTTCTTTTGTGTATGTGTGTTGTGGGTGGTAGTTTTGAGGTGACAGGAGTTTGTTGTCAATCGAACCACGAGGCATCATTCTATCTCCCGTGTCTCCTCTTGTAGAACCGAGGACTTGTGAGGTTCGTGATGGAGCGCCTGGTGAGGGAGGTGACTGGCGTCCAGGCGACTGCTAACATGATCACCAGCAGGGAACACTACCATGGGATATCCCGTCGATCCTGTTACGAAGACTCCGTCCGAACCTTCCACGACCACTGCTTCGATCTGGCCGAGGCTAGTAGAGTCCCCCCTTTTCTATTCCCATCCTTACCTAGATACCATTTTCATATTTCTCCATTTCTTTTGAGGGGGAACTAAAAAATCTTTCTCCTAATTTCCTGTCTGATATTTGGTTAGGATTCTTTACTCACCTTCATCTGTTTTAGATCAGCGTCACCTTCCTTCTCCTCATCTTCACCTTCCTGACGCTAGAGCTGACTTGTTCTCTGTTCTTCATCAGCAAGAAACTATGACACATTTTCTTTATGAAACTATGACACATTCTATTGAGATAACATTGAGATAACTATAACTTTATATATTTAACAATAGCTAAAGATAACTTTAGCTATTGAGATAACAACTTTTACTGAATGAAACAGGTAGTCCACGCTAACAAGCCATTTAGGTAACAATTAACTTGCTACACAAATAACATCAAGCTGATGTTATTGTTAAAAAAAATCTAAGTTGAAAGATATGTTAGATTCTGAATTATCTTCTCTTCAGGTCTAAGAAGTTAACTTGATTTTCTCACCAGATTAGCAATTGCAAATAAAAAATATTCTCCAAGACTCCTCGAAATATTTGTTTGTTATTTAATAATAATTCAGATGTAATCATCGACCCTGAAGCAATTAATTTAGTTTACCCTGCTGATTATGCCCAATTACCTTTCAGAATCCGTTCGCTCTGAGGGTCGTGAACAGCATTGTAAACTTGTGTGAGCATGGGTATACTCATGAAGCGTTCCTGGAGGCTACTCGGGTCGTATGTACCCACCAGACATACACAGGTATCGTCTGAGGGCCCCCCTGTCTCAAAGAGGACCCGTCAGACCTCCACAGGTATCGTCTGAGGGCCCCTGTCTCCAACAGGACCCGTCAGACCTCCACAGGTATCGTCTGAGGGCCCCTGTCTCCAACAGGACCCGTTAGACTTCCACTGGTATCGTCTGAGGGCTCCCTCCTCCGGCCGCGCCCCTATTTACTCATTGCAGCACTATCCTGTATTGCAATAGCCTGTCTCAACAAATCACAGATGCATGGGCCACTATGTACTGATACGACATGTCAAAGACACATTTTCAGAGTTTTCCATTTAGCTAATTTAGCCAAGTTCCTTAATGATCCAGTAATTAGTGACGTATAGGTTGACAGTGATACAGTTGACCTCAAAATATAATGACAGTTTTCAGTGATAAATTGATGTTTGTAGTTGACAGTGTAGAGTGCAGATCACTAATAGACTCCTGTCTATTCTAACATTAGTGGATTATATCCAGTACAGAGAAGCAGTGATAAAGGAGTAACAGTAGAATGAAGACTTAAGAAAATGCTAAGAAACAAAGAAGTAGATAACGCTAATGAATTAAGGAAGTGATATTGTGATGAAACAAGGACGAACGAAGGATTAAGGAAAAAAAATAATGGAAGCATGAACAGGAGAAGAACATGGACAGAAAAAGGAGGATATGAAAACAAACAAGAAAAAAAACACCTTTCGACAATTAACAACAAGAACACGATCCAAACAAATTACTTTACCATGATAAAGTTGACTACACACACACACACATTATATATATATATATATATATATATATATATATATATATATATATATATATATATATATATATATATATATATATATATATATATATATATATATATATATATGTCGTACCTAGTAGCCAGAACGCACTTCTCAGCCTACTATACAAGGCCCGATTTGCCTAATAAGCCAAGTTTTCCTGAATTAATATATTTTCTCAATTTTTTTCTTTTGAAATGATAAAGCTAGACATTTCATTGTGTATGAGGTAAATTTTTTTTATTGGAGTTAAAATTAACGTAGATATATGACCGAACCTAACCAACCCTACCTAACCTAACCTAACCTATCTTTATAGGTTAGGTTAGGTTAGGTAGCCTAAAAAGTTAGGTTAGGTTAGGTTAGGTAGGTTAGGTAGTCGAAAAAACATTAATTCATGAAAACTTAGCTTATTAGGCAAATTGGGCCTTGAATAGTAGGCTGAGAAGTGAGTTCTGGCTACTAGGTACGACATATATACATATATATATATATATATATATATATATATATATATATATATATATATATATATATATATATATATATATATATATATATATATAATATACTGTAAATAGCATACATTCATAAGTACCTTCAATTTGTATGTGGAAAATAGATATACAGAAGTGATTCAAGAAACACTGAAGCAACATAAATACAGTTGTATGAGTGTATTAATACAGTGGGAACAACCGCTGTAGTGTGAATTAGGCCAAAACTGGCGACTGTGATGTATTGTTGACTAATAAAATAAGTTATAATCCACCTGCCCTCTGATAATCCTCTGAATAACTCGATGATAATTCCGTACTTGGTATAATGATTTGGGATGAGACGAGCGGGGGGGAGGGGAGGGGAAGGAATGGTGCCCAACCACTTGTGGACGGTCTCGGGGGATTGAACGCCGACCTGCATGAAGCGAGACCGTCCAGCCCAAGTGGTTGGGCTAGTAGGCTGTGACTAAACATTGTCTTAGACAATTAGTCAGCAGCCTTCAAGATATCTTCCCTACTCTAAGGCAAAGATCAAAGGGAAATTCTGTAAGATTGATAGCCATTTAACCATTGTTTGTCAACCCGTTATCGTGAAATTATAGATATCTTAGTAACCCTGTGCTCGATCGTACCAATGCGTGGCAATGGAAACCCAGTAAGCCATTGTTTGTACTTTTATGTTTTTATTAAAATAAATGTTTTTAGTTTTATTATTAATGTTGTACTATTTATTTTAAAACAAAATTTGGGAAAATATAAATCTAAAAATTGTAAATATTTCTTGGCTTTGTATAATAAATTATTATACGATAGTAGTATAGTACATCTGTGTACTATATTAGGCCTCAAATAGTGTGTATTAAGTCTCAGGATGGATAAGCTTAGTCTTTTAAGCAACATACATAAATAAAATTAGTATACTAAACATAATTCCTTGGCAAAAGTATACTGTATATGCGGTTAACGCATCTCTGGTACTATCATATATCCAGCCGCATTAGTCATCTCACGCCAGCATAATTAATGAGATTAGAATTTTCAATTATTCTTTCCTTAGTTCGAAACTTTCATAGCATTCTTTCGACCCAAATCTTATTTTTAATTTTTAATCCTTTTAGCATTTTTCTTATGTTTAATTTTTCCATTAACTTCTAGAGAAGTCACATTAATGTACGTCATCTCCCCATTAACATAAGCCCGTAACATAACGCTACATATATCACCGAATCCACTGGAGTTGATCATAAAGGTAGTGGGTAGATGTAGGTAGATAAAGGTAGATCGTTCAGGAGAACAACTCAATATCTAAGTCACACTTTATTGAAAATAAGAGAGTAATGTAAGGATTTTTTCTATGCAGTTCAAAATCACAGAGTAAATAGTTATGTTTACATAAAATTCAGTTTTGTGAGTATATATGTAAATATAAGACAAATATAATTTAATTAGGAGAAAATTAAAAGTATCGAAAAAGTATTTCATTTTTGCTAATATGTTCAAACGGCAAAATATTAAAGACAATTATTTAGAATCGATTGTTTGACTGTCAACACAGACTCCAATTGTGTAAGTTGGTACAAAAGCCCGCTACTGTGGTTGACTAAAATGGCTCACTTGAGCCCCAGTGGCGGAATTGACACCTCACAGGTAGCCGACAAGAGTTGCTCAGTCGACACAGTTGAGATTGATGGACGATCAGTTGATGCCTGTGACCGCGTCGTGAACACACACGGCTCGGGAAGCGCAGGAGAACTGTTCAGCAGAGTAGCCGTGCTCACACAAGTTCACCATAGCGTAAGTCACTCGTAGGGCGTACGGATTCTGACACACACACGTATGGATTCATTAATGATACCTATGGTAAGTGTTGATATATATGTTCATAGATATCAGCATATCAGATAAAAACGAAAATAATCTGAGCATTCTATAGTTCTGTGCAGCGTCATTCATCCTGGGAGTGGACACACCGCCATAGTGACAGTATTGGGCAGCGTCACTCATCCTGTGAGTGGACACACCGCCATAGTGACAGTATTGGGCAGCGTCACTCATCCTGTGAGTGGACACACCGCCATAGTGACAGTATTGGGCAGCGCCACTCATCCTGTGAGTGGACACACCGCCATAGTGACAGTATTGGGCAGCGTCATTCATCCTGTGAGTGAACACACCGCCATAGTGACAGTATTGGGCAGCGCCACTCATCCTGTGAGTGGACACACCACCATAGTGACAGTATTGGGCAGCGCCACTCATCCTGTGAGTGGGCACACCGCCATAGTGACAGTATTGGGCAGCGTCATTCATCCTGTGAGTGAACACACCGCCATAGTGACAGTATTGGGCAGCGCCACTCATCCTGTGAGTGGACACACCGCCATAGTGACAGTATTGGGCAGCGCCACTCATCCTGTGAGTGGACACACCGCCATAGTGACAGTATTGGGCAGCGTCATTCATCCTGTGAGTGAACACACCGCCATAGTGACAGTATTGGGCAGCGCCACTCATCCTGTGAGTGGACACACCGCCATAGTGACAGTATTGGGCAGCGCCACTCATCCTGTGAGTGGACACACCGCCATAGTGACAGTATTGGGCAGCGTCACTCATCCTGTGAGTGGACACACCGCCATAGTGACAGTATTGGGCAGCGTCACTCATCCTGTGAGTGGACACACCGCCATAGTGACAGTATTGGGCAGCGTCACTCATCCTGTGAGTGGACACACCGCCATAGTGACAGTATTGGGCAGCGCCACTCATCCTGTGAGTGGACACACCGCCATAGTGACAGTCTTGGGCAGCGCCACTCATCCTGTGAGTGGACACACCGCCATAGTGACAGTATTGGGCAGCGCCACTCATCCTGTGAGTGGACACACCGCCATAGTGACAGTATTGGGCAGCGCCACTCATCCTGTGAGTGGACACACCGCCATAGTGACAGTATTGGGCAGCGCCACTCATCCTGTGAGTGGACACACCGCCATAGTGACAGTATTGGGCAGCGTCACTCATCCTGTGAGTGGACACACCGCCATAGTGACAGTATTGGGCAGCGCCACTCATCCTGTGAGTGGACACACCGCCATAGTGACAGTATTGGGCAGCGTCACTCATCCTGTGAGTGGACACACCGCCATAGTGACAGTATTGGGCAGCGTCACTCATCCTGTGAGTGGACACACCGCCATAGTGACAGTATTGGGCAGCGCCACTCATCCTACGAGTGACGCTGCTCAATACTGTCCAATGCTTTTCCCAACAATTGCAGCGTAGTTAAGACTACGATACATCGTAACTACATCGTAAATGCTCAGTTTATTTTCGTTTTTTCTCTATCTACACAACTGAATCACGTGTTTTGTGTATATACACATAATAAAAATTTAAATTAAAGGACTTTTAGTTAATTATTTCAATTAAGAGAAGTTTGTTACCAGTCCAAGGTTGAAGCAGAGGCTATGGAAGGTCTCGACACAGCTCTGGTAGCAGTCATCATTATGTATTTCCTGGAAGGTGTTGGTCATCATCTTCTCTGTAAGGTCATCATCACCTGTCACCACCTTCACTATCTTCCTCATTGTATCCTTCACGAAGGTACGGTTCTTGGGGGTGAAAATGAGCTCATTCAATATGTAGATTATATTCATACAGGAAAATCAAAGCTGAATATTTTGGTTAAATAAAAGCTAGGATTTTCAGCTAATTTTGTTGTCTAATTCCCAGTGTTCTGCCTCTTTCGGGGATCGAACCCGGGACTTCAGAACTACGAATCCGAAGCGCTGTCCACTCAGTTGTCAGGCTCCATACAGTCAGTCTACATTTTATTAACTTTCGTGGGGTTGTTTATCATCTTTTTGCCTCTAGTGAAACCACAGTCATTTGAAATTTTTTCATTTTGTAATGTTTAAACTCCTTTGCGTTCTTGAAGATATATATAAATCACAACCTTAACTCAAACTTTCCGAACAGATTCGGAAATACGTAAATCAAACACAAGTGGATTGCAGAGGTTTGCAATTCAGGTTTGCAACTCAGGTTTGCAATTTAGGTTTGCAATTCAGGTTTGCAATTCAGGTTTGCAACTCAGGTTTGCAATTTAGGTTTGCAATTCAGGTTTGCAATTCAGGTTTGCAATTCAGGTTTGCAACTCAGGTTTGCAATTTAGGTTTGCAATTCAGGTTTGCAACTCTTAGTATCAGAACTAACATGTTTATCGTATGAGGACAGGCTGAAGGAACAGCACCTCACCACCTTGGCTGATAGAATAAACAGAGGAGACATGATAACAACGTACAAGATCCTGAGGAAGGATACACAAGGTGGGACAGCCTAATAACTTGAAAATCTGAGTGCAATACAGGCATGAGGAACTTCACATAACTTGCCAATGTGGTATTTTATGCAGTAAGTGGAGTTGTAGTATATTAGAGGAGTGACTTAAGTGGAAGCTTTATGGGCTATTCATGCCCGTGCCACCTCTTGGGTGGCTTAATCTTTATCAATCAAATCAGTGGAAGCTGGGAACGCAAATGGCTCTAAGGAATGTCAGGAAGTATACGAGGACCCTGTACGGGCCTGGTAGCCTGGTGGATAGCGCGCAGGATTCGTAATTCTGTGGCGCGGGTTCGATTCCCGCACGAGGCAGAAACAAATGGGCAAAGTTTCTTTCACCCTGAATGCCCCTGTTACCTAGCAGTAAATAGGTACCTGGGAGTTAGTCAGCTGTCACGGGCCGCTTCCTGGGGGTGGAGGCCTGGTCTAGGGCCGGGCCGCGGGGACACTAAAGCCCCGAAATCATCTCAAGATAACCTCAAGATAACGGGCGGTCAATACCTTACCTACCTTGAGGTTACCTTGAGGTGCTTCCGGGGCTTAGCGTCCCCGCGGTCCGGTCGTCGACCAGGCCTCCTGTTTGCCGGACTGATCAACCAGGCTGTTGGACGCGGCTGCTCGCAGCCTGACGTATGAGTCACAGCCTGGTTGATGAGGTATCCTTTGGAGGTGCTAAGTGGAATGTACTGAAAGAATAAGTTGTGGAAGCCACCTCCACTCCACAACTTTAAGGCCGTGGTTCGACAAAGATATTGAACGCTAGAATAGTGAAGCATTAACGCAACGGGTTCAGCAAAGCCTATTAGGCAGGGAGGGAGGGAACTATCAGGGAGAAAACCCCAAGTCATTATGACTATATAGCACTGGGAAGGGGTCAGGATTAGGATTTGGGATGGGACGGTGGGAAAGGAATGGTGCCCAACCACTTGTGGACGGTCTCGGGGGGATTGAACGTCGACCTGCATGAAGCGAGACCGTCGCCCTACCGTCCAGCCCAAGTGGTTGGGCTAGAAGGCGGGGGATAAAAAAGCTAATCTACACTACCCCGTTATCACTGATAGATAAGAGCTGTTGCTGTTGTTGTTTTAGATTCAGCTACTTAGAACAAAAGTTCCAAAGTAGCACGGGCTATGGTGAGCCCGTAGTGGACTTACCTGGCACAGGAGCGGGGCAAGTAGCACGGGCTATGGTGAGCCCGTAGTGGACTTACCTGGCACAGGAGCGGGGCAAGTAGCACGGGCTATGGTGAGCCCGTAGTGGACTTACCTGGCACAGGAGCGGGGCAAGTAGCACGGGCTATGGTGAGCCCGTAGTGGACTTACCTGGTACAGGAGCGGGGCTGTAACTCATCTCTAGATAATAATCTACTCACCTCCTGGAGAGTATCTATCTCATGCTGCCAGAAATCTGCTCCGGTGAGGCCGTCGGCAGCGTCCACGAGGCTCTGCAGCATGGCCAGTGGAACGTCGGGGCTGGCAATGGAAGTCGTCTGAAAAAGAGAGAGAAACGCAATTTTTCTGGACAACAAACTTGTCGAACAAAACAAGGATAAGACAAGACACTTTTCCTTGTAGAACAACAAAGAGAGACCCCGAGGACTAAGATCTTCAACTCGGGGGACAATATCAGAAAAACAATCACGATTCTCGTTTACATAAATGGATAAATCGGCTCATATATATATATATATATATATATATATATATATATATATATATATATATATATATATATATATATATATATATATATATATATATATATATATATATATATATTTACGTCAATAAAGTCGATTATAAACGTGTATAACCATTTAAAAGAAAATGATTGAGAGGGGAAACTATACAGTTATCAATTAGTAGCAAGCAGCCATTAGTCTCAGGGGACTATGGAGTTGGGCTCTGGTTGTTGGTCTGGAGTAGCCTCTCCAGGGCGCAAAGCCAGGGTAGGTTGATACGGGGGAGAAGCTGTTACCCATGCAGCAGGTCCCCCCCCCCAATTACCACCATATGAAGCCACAGGGATGAACAACAATGAACACCAGAACATAAAAAGTGCTACATGAACAATAACACAAAAGTGAACACAAGGGGGAAGGAGAGGGGGGCATTGACTCCACCTGCGGTATGCCATTACGTAACAATTGCGGCCTACTAACCAGACACGGGTCGTCTATGGGGAAGAAGGGACCAAAGTCGACAGCATCTACCGACTTGCTACCGACAAAGGCCCCAACCGCTTCCGTATCGATAGACTTCTCGCCCCACTGCATCACGTGAGACGTCGTGGTTGCCTTCTTGACGACGTTAAACTGCTTCTCCAACGTCTCCTTCGTCACATCCTCCTACAGAAACGGCATTTAGAACCCCGATGCTCAGCCAGGAAAGCTATATATGGCTATGTTGACCAGACCACACACTAGAAATTGAAGGGACGACGACGTTTCGACTTGAGAATGGTCCAGGACGGACCGAAACGTCGTCGTCCCTTCAATTTCTAGTGTGTGGTCTGGTCAACATACTTCAGCCACGTTATTGTGACTCATCGCCTGCCTATATATGGCTATATCGAATGTTATATTGCAAGGATACAAGGTTATCTTGAGGTTATCTTGAGATGATTTCGGGGCTTTAGTGTCCCCGCGGCCCGGTCCTCGACCAGGCCTCCACCCCCAGGAAGCAGCCCGTGACAGCTGACTAACACCCAGGTACCTATTGTACTGCTAGGTAACAGGGGCATAGGGTGAAAGAAACTCTGCCCAATGTTTCTCGCCGGCGCCTGGGATCGAACCCAGGACAACAGGATCACAAGTCCAGCGTGCTGTCCGCTCGGCTCCCTAAGGTTGCAAGGTACCAGGCACCAGTACTCGCTCGCTACCACCACTACCAAGCCAGCTACTTACCCTATCAGTGAAGCCAGCTACTTACCCTATCAGTGAAGCCAGCTACTTACCCTATCAGTGAAGCCAGCTACTTACCCTATCAGTGAAGCCAGCTACTTACCCTATCAGTGAAGCCAGCTACTTACCCTATCAGTGAAGCCAGCTACTTACCCTATCAGTGAAGCCAGCTACTTACCCTATCAGTGAAGCCAGCTACTTACCCTATCAGTGAAGCCAGCTACTTACCCTATCAGTGAAGCCAGCTACTTACCCTATCAGTGAAGCCAGCTACTTACCCTATCAGTGAAGCCAGCTACTTACCCTATCAGTGAAGCTAGCTACTTACCCTATCAGTGAAGCCAGCTACTTACCCTATCAGTGAAGCCAGCTACTTACCCTATCAGTGAAGTCAGCTACTTACCCTATCAGTGAAGCCAGCTACTTACCCTATCAGTGAAGCCAGCTACTTACCCTATCAGTGAAGCCAGCTACTTACCCTATCAGTGAAGCCAGCTACTTACCCTATCAGTGAAGTCAGCTACTTACCCTATCAGTGAAGTCAGCTACTTACCCTATCCGTGTCTTCCATCCACTTGATGCTGAAGACATCACCAAGGAAGGTGCCCACTTTCTTATCCAAGTAGCAGGCGTAAGATGACTCCGTTGAATTCGAGGCGGACAAAGCGTATACTGAACAGAATGCGTATATTGCGTTATTCAATAATAATAATGATAAACACAACGACAATGCCAAAAATAATAAAGCGCCAAGCCATTACGACTATATAGCACTGGGAAGGGGCCAGGATAAGGATTTGGGATGGGAAGGATTGCTGCCCAACCACTTATGGACGGTCGGGGATTGAACGCCGACCTGCATGACGCGAGACCGTTGCTCTACCATCCAGCCCAAGTGATTGGACCTTAAAAAATCACAATAAGAAATGTATAAAATGAATAAATTCACAAAATGGGACATTGAATTAACCATCTAGTTGGTGCTAATGCTGAGGAGAAAATGTAAGTAGTTGTATTCTAATGGAAAAATAAATCACTTTTAATCACTAGCTAGTAGATATTATTATAAAGATGTAAGTTTTATAATAATGAATTTATTATAATTTTTATCAAGTAAGGATAGACACTGTGTGAAGGAAATTTGGTAAAAAATATAAGAATGTGAACGAAAAAAAGAGTGACACGAGAAGGAAAACGGAAAGCTAACATGAAAATCATGGGAGACTTATCTTACCATTAATGTCATCAGGGATGTTTTTGAACATGGAACCAGCCTCACAGGCCTCCATATACACGGTCAGCTGGAGGGTGAAGGAACAAGATCTTTGATGAGTAATCATCTTTCATGATATTCCTTCTGTGACAATCTATGCAATTACAAGCGTTTAGGAGCTGTTTAGAGGCGTGTATAGCCTTGTGTTATTTATTTATTTATTTATTTATTTATTTATTTATATAGAATAAAGTACATTGGGTTTATGAAAGTACAGAGATTTGATGTTTTACATTCTTGTAAAGCCACTAGTACGCATAGCGTTTCGGGCAGAACGTTTCATTTTCTGTGTGTGGAAAGCAACACTCACCTCCTTGAACCGTTTATTGCGTTGCATGTCCAGGATGCCGTTGGTGAAGTTCTTGACGTAGAGATAAGACTCGGGGAAGGCGAAGATTCCGGGAGCTCCATGATCCACCATATTGATGAAGACGCGATCGTTTGGTCCGCTCTTGAGTACTTTACCGGAGCCTACCTCCTTTAGGCCCTCTGCGTCGCCTTGTAGGACCTTCAGGAAGGTCTCTGGGGTGACGTCCTTGCCGGTGTAGTCCTTGGGGACGCCCTTGTAGACGTCGGGGCCGTCTGGTCGGTTGATTATCTTCCCCTTGATAGGATTCCTGGAGAAAGCAAACGAGATGTGGTATGTGGCCCCTGGCTGCAAGATTTAGTGATTAAGGGGGAACTGATATATTTGGTTAAATCTGCATTTGGACTACCTGTCCTCCTACAAAGAACGTCGCATTTCGCTCGTATGCTCTACACAAATCCAAAATCCATAGGGTTGGATCACAAGGCCGTGATCCAGCACCAAACCAGGTTAGATGGCCTTGTTACAGGGACAACTGTCGGACAAGGTCCAGCAGACCTTTGAGGTCTATATTTGTTTACATTTTGACTACTAGATTAACAATTAGTCGAGTTACATGTAAAAATTGGTGACTGAACATTATATACGAACACTTAAATTAAGCAAAAAAAGGCACTTCACTATTCATAGGTAGAGTTTGCTAGGAAAACTGATGCTATTACTTGATTGTGTAAATATTTCAAAAGAACTGACTTGGCTTCATTAGAACAGTTAGCTCTAATTAAAAAAGTGAAACCACGTTATTAAATCAAATTTGGCCTTATACTTATCTGAAGAAAACAACTCTTGAATTAATTAGCCATATTTTCTGATTTATTAAGACTGACGTGGGTTTTCGAAATGCTTTTTTACAAACAAGGTTTCATAATTAGGACCGTAATATGTAACCTAACCTAATGATAAGAGAATATATCACATACCCACATGTATTCTCTGGAAGGATACAGAGATAGTTATAAGGGAAGGTAATTATAGTTGTAGAGAGAATTATAGTTGTGTTGGTTACAGTTAGCTCTAATTAGCACGGCTATACGGCATTTAGAAGGAATATGGGAACAAGGATTTGGGATAGGATGGAGGGAAAGAATGGTGTTCAACCATTGAGAGAGAGAGAGAGAGAGAGATATGACTGACAACAATGAGAGATACATTAACACCGCTACTCACATCTTGTTGTTAGCGATGTCATCGTACATCATAACGATGATGTGATCATCAGGGACGCCGTGCTGATGGAGGATCTGGTAGGCGTGGCACACATCCGCCTGCAACCATAGGTATATAATCCTTTCAACTCTGTGCCTTTGGCTAACCACAACAGTTCCATCCCCCCAAGACCAAAATGCCCTTTTTCGGTATTGGCTTACGTAACACAAGTTAATCAGAAAATTAATATTTAGAGACGGTGGTCGGGGTCAGGAAGGATATATATGTCTTGCCGAGGTCCCAGCTAACTACCAATTTTCCTCAGGATTGGTAGTTAGAAACCTAACAATTGCTTAACTCCCAGGTTCCTATATACAGCCTAAGGAACAGATGCATGAGGTGCAGGGGAAACATCTTTGTGCTACCGCAGGATTCGATCCCGGGTCCGCCTATATAGACTACCGCGCTGCGCCAGGGGACCACCACACACGAGGGAGACTCATCTAATCACCCTCCAAGACTCACCTGATGGCGGTAGTTCATCCAGGTGGAGGAGCCGGCTACCAGCACAGCCCACAGCTCACCATCCGGCTCCGGCGCGGCTACTCTGGCCTGACTGAAGGAGACAATCACACCAACCAACACCACCAAGGCCGCAGTCACACGCCCCATATCACCCTCGCTACTGCTGCAGTGGAAGACAACACCACACATTGGTAAAAATGTCTTGACGTAAGAGGACAGATTAGGCAAAATTGTAATTAATTTTGTCAATAAAGATGTTAATAATAATAATGGCGGAAGAGGAAAGAGTGTTAGCGTCAGGCAGTTAAACGATTATTAATTACGGGTAAAGAATTGGTCGTTTGGTTAATTATTCGTGTTGTCACGGTTGCTGGATTACCGTAAGTTTAAGCACCTGACCCAAGACTATTTTCTTAACATAAATCATCTTCATATAATCACAATTGACTATATCAATATCAGGAATTATTTTCACCAATGCCTTACACCAGGCTAAGGTTAGATTAGGTGAAGTTAGGTTAGGCTAAGATGGTTAAGTGAGGTTAGGTTAAACTAAGATGGTTAGGTTTGAATTGTGAGCCTAACCTCTGCATACAAGTGAAATTGAGTACCCAAATGAGCCACAGCGACATTAGAAAGAACTTTTTAGTGTTGGAGTAGTTAACAAATGAAATGCACTAGGAAGTGTAATACACAGTTTCATATGTTGATATGACAGAACCTAATAGGCTGAAGAACTTGTCCACCAGTTGATTGGATGTCGAGTGGCGAAACCAAACAAGCCGAATTTCATCCCCCACAAGCACAAACAGTTAAGTACAGCTAGGTGAGTATACAAATCTTAAAGCAGTAGACGACATACTGGTTCACGCGACTTTAATAAATTAGTCTATTTTGGACCTCATATCCATGCTGAAGGCACTGGCAGAACGGTTACTGGGCTCAGGAACTGAACCTCAAAGTTCTATAAGCTAAGCAATTTGTCTGTGGTGAGCTTTGATTGATTGTCGTCACCCCATACTCATTCCATGCAACCCGTTCCTAATAGCCCATAGTGGACTTAACTGACACAAAAGAGGGGCTAAAATTGTTGTTGTTTAAGATTTAGCTACTCAGAACGAAGAGTCCGTGTAGCACGGGCTATGGTGAGCCCGTAGTGCCTCTGAGGAACTACAACCTGAGGAACACGAAAGAAGTGTTAAGTCTGCAGACATAAACAATGCTCTCTTCTGTTATGTAAGGGACTCTAATCATCTTGTTGATTACACATATCCACACACACACTTGCCCCAAGTAAATAATTCTCATTTACTTATATCATACGCAATAACTACTACTTGGCCGCAATGCCAGTAACCTAACTGGTTCAACTATTTGACCGCAGGGCAAGTAACCTAACTAGTTTGAAATCATGTCAAATGAAATCCCTCTACCCATAAATAGTATATATCTATAATTGGGAACTTTTCATAACAATTAAAGAACAGAAATTACATGTCAAAGTAACATGCAAATGCACATAGACAAACACATGCTAAGATATACATATATATTTACCATAGTTATACACTAAACACCGATTAAATGGACCAGCTTATACTCACTCCAGCTACTGAAGACACCGGATAACTGGAGTACAAGTTGAGTGCAGCTGTGGCGTAACGTCAGAAGGAGGGACAAGAGCCGGATAGTGCCGGGAGCAGGAGAGTGCCAGGAGCAGGTCCAGTGCCTCATTATATATGCAGGGAGTCTATAGGGACGCCGCAGGAACGCCTACCCTGAGTCACGCGACATGAGGCGTTTAGTCGTGTCCGCCACAACAAAGAGATTGACCGATAAGGTTGTAAAGCACGTGTGTGGTTGTGTTCTGCGGCTATGGGCGGTGTTTGTGGTGTTTGGTTCTAGTGTTTGTGTTTTTACTGTTTGTATCTGCGGAATCGAGCTATTAGCTCTTGGGCCCGGACTTTCTAACCGGTTTAGTTTTTCCTCTATTATGTTTACATGTATTTCTAACACACACACACACATCCCCCAGGAAGCAGATCGTAGCAGCTGTCTAACTCCCAGGTACCTATTTACTGCTAGGCGAACAGGGGGCATCAGAGTGAAAGAAACTCTGCCCATTTGTTTCTGCCTCTGCTGGGGATCGAACTCGAACCCTTAAAACTACGACCCCAGAGCGCTGTCCACTCAGCCGCGAGGCCCACAAATAAATGTGTGTGTATTTACTATTTGTATTCACTATTTGTGTCTGCAGAATCGAGCTATTAGCTCTTGGACTCCGCCTTTCTAACCAATCTAATTTTCCTCTATTATATCTACGTACTCACCTAGTTGTGCTTGCGAGGATTGAGCTCTGCTCTGAGGGCCCGTCTCTCAACTGTCAATCAATCAACTGTTACTAACTACTAATTCTTTTTCCACACACACATCCCCAAGAAGCAGCTCCGTAGCAGCTGTCTAACTCCCAGGTACCTATTTACTGCTAGGTAACAGGGGCATCAGGGTGAAAGAAACTTTGCCCATTTGTTTCTGCATGGTCTGGGAATCGAATCCGGGCCACAGAATTACGAGTCTAACGCGCTATCCACCAAGCCCCCTGCTGACCCTGTGTACTCACCTAATTGTGCTTGCGGGGGTTGAGCTTTGGCTCTTTGGTCCCGCCTCTCAACTGTAAATCAACTGGTGTACAGGTTCCTGAGCCTATTGGGCTCTATCATATCTACATTTGAAACTGTGTATGGAGTCAGCCTCCACCACATCACTTCCTAGTGCATTCCAATCATTAACTACTCTGACACTGAAAAAATTCTCTCTAACGTCTCTGTGGCTCATCTGGGTACTAAGTTTTCACCTGTGTCCCCTTGTTCGTGTCCCACCCGTGCTGAAGAGTTTGTCTTTGTCCACCCTGTCAATTCCCCTGAGAATTTTGTAGGTGGTTATCATGTCTCCCCTTACTCTTCTGTTTTCCAGGGATGTGAGGTTCAGCTCCTTTAGCCTTTCCTCGTAGCTCAATCCTCTCAGTTCCGGGACGAGCCTGGTGGCATACCGCTGAATCTTCTCTAACTTTGTCTTGTGTTTAACTAGATTAACTAGTTTAACTGGTTTGTGTGTGTGTATTGACTCTTGGATCCCGCCTTTCGAGCATCGGTTGTTTACAGCAATGACTCCTGTCCCATTTCCCTATCATACCTGGTTTTAAAATTATGAATAGTATTTGCTTCCACAACCTGTTCCTGAAGTGCATTCCATTTCCCCACTACTCTCACGCTAAAAGAAAACTTCCTTACATCTCTGTGACTCATCTGAGTTTCAAGCTTCCATCCATGTCCTCTCGTTCTGTTACTATTCCGTGTGAACATTTCGTCTATGTCCACTCTGTCAATTCCTCTGAGTATCTTATACGTTCCTATCATGTCCCCCCTCTCCCTTCTTCTTTCTAGTGTCGTAAGGCACAGTTCCCTCAGGCGCTCTTCATACCCCATCCCTCGTAGCTCTGGGACGAGTCTCGTTGCAAACCTCTGAACCTTTTCCAGTTTCATTATATGCTTCTTCAGATGGGGACTCCATGATGAGGCGGCATACTCTAAGACTGGCCTTACGTAGGCAGTGTAAAGCGCCCTAAATGCCTCCTTACTTAGGTTTCTGAATGATGTTCTAACTTTTGCCAGTGTAGAGTACGCTGCTGTCGTTATCCTATTAATATGTGCCTCAGGAGATAGATTAGGTGTTACGTCCACCCCCAGGTCTCTTTCACGCGTCGTTACAGGTAGGCTGTTCCCCTTCATTGTGTACTGTCCCTTTGGTCTCCTATCTCCTAGTCCCATTTCCATAACTTTACATTTGCTCGTGTTGAATTCTAGTAGCCATTTCTCTGACCATCTCTGCAATCTGTTCAGGTCCTCTTGGAGGATCCTGCAATCCTCATCTGTCACAACTCTTCTCATCAACTTTGCATCATCCGCAAACATCGACATGTAGGACTCTACGCCTGTAAACATGTCGTTAACATATACAAGAAATAGAATTGGTCCCAGCACCGATCCTTGTGGTACTCCACTTGTTACTGTTCGCCAGTCCGACTTCTCGCCCCTTACCGTAACTCTTTGGCTCCTTCCTGTTAGGTAGTTCCTTATCCATTCTAGGACCTTTCCCCCCACCCCCGCCTGCCTCTCGAGCTTGAACAGCAGTCTCATGTGCGGTACTGTATCAAAGGCTTTTTGGCAGTCCAGAAATATGCAGTCTGCCCAACCATCTCTGTCCTGTCTTATCCTCGTTATTTTATCATAGAATTCCAGAAGGTTTGTTAGGCACGATTTCCCTGTCCAGAACCCATGTTGATGTTTGTTCACAAACCTAATGTTCTCCAGGTGTGCAACCAGTCGTAGCCTAATTATTCTTTCCAGTATTTTACAGGGGATGCTTGTCAGTGATACAGGTCTGTAGTTAAGTGCCTCCTCCCTATCTCCTTTCTTGAAGATCGGCACGACATTTGCCTTCTTCCAGCAACTGGGCAATTCTCCTGACATAAGTGACTCATTAAAGATCATTGCCAGAGGCACGCTGAGGGCCTGTGCTGCTTCTTTTAGTATCCACGGTGATACTTTGTCTGGTCCAACTGCTTTAGTTGCATCTAGAGTTGTCAACTGTTTCATTACCTCCTCTGCTGTCACCTCTATATCTGATAGTCTTTCATCTAGGGTAACCCCTTCCAACAATGGGAGCTGCTCAGGCTCGGTAGTGAACACTCCATGGAAACTGGCATTCAGTGCCTCGCAGATTTCCTTGTCACTTTCAGTATATGCCCCCTCTGTCTTCCTTAGTCTTGTCACTTGGTCGTTCACCGACATTTTTCTTCTTATATGACTGTGTAGTAACTTAGGTTGTTTTTTCGCTTTGATTGCAATATCGTTCTCATAGTCCCTTTCCGATGTTCGTCTTATGTTAATGTAATCGTTCCTAGCTCTGTTGTATCTGCTTCTGTTGTCCTCTGTTCTTTGTCTTCTGTACTTCCTCCACTCCCGCCTGCTGGCCATTTTTGCTTCCTGACACTGTCTATTAAACCATGGGTTATTATATTCCTTCTTATTTTTTCCCTTTACCGTTGGTATAAATCTCTCTTCGGCCTCCTGGCATTTCTGTATGACTAGGTCCATCATATCTTGGACTGTTTTTCCTCTAATTTCTTCCTCCCACTGCACTTCACCCAGATAGTCCCTTATCCTCATATAGTCCCCTTTCCTGTAGTCAGCTCTCCTTTCCCAGATCTCTTGTCCCATGGTCATAATTTTGAATTCCATCATGTAGTCAAAGACTAGGACACAATGGTCACTGGCCCCTAGAGGTATTTCATGCTCTAAATTCTCGATATCTTCTACGTTCTGGGTGAAAATCAGGTCTAATAGGCTCGGTGCATCCCCTCCTCTTTCCCTTGTGTCTTCCTTCACATGTTGTGTCAGGAAATTCCTGTCTATAACATCTACTAATTTTGCTCCCCACGTTTCATCCCCTCCATGGGGATTCCTTGATTCCCAATTTATCTCTCCATGATTTAGGTCCCCCATGATCAGCAGCTTCGCTCTCATTCTGTGGGCTAGTGTTGCTGCCTTCTGCAGTTCATCTATACATGCTTTGTTGTTGTCATCATACTCCTGCCTGGGTCTTCTACTGTTTGGTGGGGGATTGTAGATTACCAGGATCACAATCTTCCTCCCATCTACTGTCAGAGTTCCATGTATGAAGCTTGTGCACTCATTGGTAACTCGATTTCCCAGGTCTTCAAACTTCCATTTCCGCTTTATTAGGAGTGCTACTCCCCCTCCCTGTCTCTGTGTCCTCTCTTTTCGTATCACCTGGTACCCTTCAGGAAAGATTGCATCTGAGATCATGTCATTAATTTTAGTTTCCACAATTGCAACTATGTCAGGATCTGCTTCACTCACTCTTTCTTTTATCTCTTCTGCTTTATTAGATACCCCATCAGCATTGGTGTACCAAACCTTGAGATTCTTCATGGAAACTCTTGTACCAGAGTTCTCCCTTTCTCTGGGGGTCTGGGGGGATCTGGGGGATGTCTGGGGGGTGACTGGGGGCAGAGGGGATCTGGGGGATCTGGGGGGTGTCTGGGGGATGACTGGGGGCGGGGAGGGTCCGGGGGATGTCCGGGGGGATCCAGGGGGTGTCTGGGGGGGTCCGGGGGGTGTATGGGGGGTGAAAGAGTTCAGGAGGGGTGCTTGGGGGGCTACTGGGGGCTGGGCTTCTAGGAAGGTAGGTAGGAGGGTCTGGGGTAGGGCCTGGGTAGGTAGGTCTGGAGTAGGAAGGGCATACTGGGTCTGAAGATTAGGGAGGGCATAGAGGGGTTGGGAGATGGGTTGGGAGATGTGTGTGTGTGTGTGTGTGTGTGTGTGTGTGTGTGTGTGTGTGTGTGTGTGTGTGTGTGTGTGTGTGTGTGTGTGTGTGTGTGTATGTGTGTGCTAACCAAAGTTCAAAGTGCACAAGCGTTTCTATCAGAGAGCGGTGGTGATGATAAGGTCAATGGCATTGTCCAGCTTTATCTTGGATCTTCGTGACTCAACATGCACTACGCTTCTCACAACAGTCCTGTGGAATGGTAGTCAATAATGAATGCAAGTTTTATATGTAAATTAAGAATGTAAATCATGGATGTAAATAATGAAAGTAAATTATGGATGGAAATTATAAATAAAAATTTTGGATGTGAAATTATCATTTGCTTTGTCTGTAATTCCCTCAG